GTCTAAAACTTGGAGAAGTGTCTTATTTAGTTATCTTCTATAACATAATTTCATAGCTTTTTCCACTGGATGGTTTTTGATTTATTTTTTTATTGCATGACAGTGAAAACGATCTATTACCGTTGCTTGCATCTAAGCATGAACACGTGATACCAAAACATGCTCTCGTGCTCTTATTGGATGTCAAACATGACATGATTGGTCATCAAACATTTGAAGTTTAGCAGACTGCAAAGTGAACTTTTGTGCTGAAAGTCTTGCTCCCGCCAATATTTCATCGTTAGACTAGGAATGAAACTACTTTCGTGAAAGTCAATTTCTCTGAAGAAATCTTCAATGCCCAATCTTTCTGCTATTTCATATGCTGAAATTTTTGTGCAAAAGTTCACGTCACAGTCTGCTAAACTTCAAATGTTTGATGACCAGTCGTGCCATGTTTGATACCCAATTGGAGCATATTTCGGCATCACGAGTTCACACTTAGATTCAAGCAATGGTAGTATAAGCTTGCATTTGGAAACATAACAACATGCAATCTAAGTATTGAAATTATTGCGCATGTAATTTCTTTTGTGCCATATAGAAGCACAAACAAATGCTTCCCAGTCATACACATGTTTTATATAATGTAGCTCATTCTGCAATCATGTTTCCTTGAGCTCCAAATATTTGGGAGAGAAACACTGAGTGGAAAAAGGCAATAAAATATATCTGCAAGGTTTTAATTTTTAAGGCCCGGTTCAAACATCGAAATTAACTTGTGGCAAACCTAATACCCATTGGGCCTTTCCATTAAATATCCACTCCCCCTCCCCCTTATATATTTTTGCAAGTCCCATGGTAGAGCAACTTTGTGAAGACTGCAAACTGACACAACCATTAGGGTAACAACTGGAAAAAGGATGGAACAAGAATCATATCCAGGGGTTGTCCATTAAGTTACTAGTACATACAGTATGTGTGATTGAATCTAGATTATAAACTTGGACATTACATGGGGCAAGTTAGCCCAAGCATTAACTTTGTCTTTTTATCTTTAGTTAGAGATTTGCTTGTAGTAGAAAGGTTTTAAATAAATGATATGGATAGGTGCCTGTTCAAGAAAATCAACCACTGACTTTTGTGAAGAGGTAGCCCTGGAGAGGTTCATCATTTATCACACCATATGCTAAATGACACTTTCACCTTATCGGTCAGATCTTTGAAATTGATCCTTTGTCTGATTTACATGCAAATGTCATATTAATTACCATCACCCTTTCTGACAGAGGACACAGAATCTTCAGAATCAGGAAAACTCAGTGAAACACATGAAGTTGCACAACACCTTTCAAGAACAAGACTGGTACGTAAATCAGCTCTGTTGTCGTAATGTCATATTTAACATCAATACAGCTGTTTAAGAGAGGGTTGTCCTACCAAAGATTTGAAACTCATTTTGCATGATATAGACTATATAAATTAGCACATCACTGTGCTTTCCCATGACTGGTGACATGGTAAAGTTCATCCATTTAAAAGATGTAAAATACATGTAGTACGTAAATGTACATAATTATATATTTACAGGGCTTGAAAAAAACTTGAATTCCAGCTTGTCCTTAGGACAAGTATCTCTCAAATTTTGCTTGCCCTGGGCAAGTCTTTGCTCTTTTAATGATTTAGTTGGCAGATGACTTGCCTTATCTCTTGCCCATTGGGCAAGTGCGAATGAAAAAGTACTTTCCCAGAAGGAGAATCTACTTGTCCCGCATGACCAGACGGCACTTTTTTCGAGCCCTGTATTATTTTAGTGCTGACTCTAAGTAAGAGCAAGAGACAGTCACTAGCCTACCAGTAATGTTTAATACCTATTATATAATTATGTAATTTATTTGGATTTTATGTCTTTCAGGATAAAGAAAATACATGTACCCCAAGCAAGTCAAAGTGTTTGATTCAGAAAAGAGATGGAGACCCATATGATGCAGATTCTGAACCTGAGACTGGTGTTTTAACATCTATGATTGTTGACCAGAACATTCCTTTAGAAAGACAACTTCAGCAGTCTGGCTTGCTGTCATTACGTGGAGAACATTCTACACCAAACCTGCAGCCAAACAGAGGCCTCTACAGTTCATGTTATGGGTTTGATGAATTGGCTTCGCCTTTGCAATTTTCCCCTGTAGGAGAACCTATGATGGCATCTCAGTATGTTCCTGGTTCCCCTGGGTCTGTTTCACTCACATCATCTGTAACCTCTATATCACCTGCAAAGAGGAAAGCTGATCTTAGGGTGTTTGATGTGCCAATTGAAAAACCTAGTAAGAAGATGAAGAAGAGGAAAACAACCAAAATTTTGGTGAGATGTTTACTTTTAATTCTTTACTACTGCATTGCATTAAAGTAATCAGTAGATGCAAAAATTATTACACTTAGAATAAATTCCACTGAGTGGACAAATAGTGTGTGCCAATCAAAATGATCAGGGAAGCCAGGTGACACTTCACTGCTGCCTGTAACTCTGACTGTTCTTATAAGCCTGAAGTGACCTTCTCTAGAGTGGAAGGGAAGGGATGTTACACGTATTTTATCCCAGGTTTAATAGCGGAACTCAGCTGTCACCTAAAAAGGTCAACGATCACTGATTCATGATTAACAGATTCATGATCAAGATTTTATTTTCTCTTGAATACAACTGACTTAATCATTGCCGATGTGAGATGTAAAGACTGAGATTCTAAAGTGGATGTCAAAACTGGAGGACAAAAAACGTGAAACCTCACCAAGGAGATATTAAATTTGATATAATTATATAAAATTGCTTTCAAAATTCATGCTAATCCTGGATTAGCTTAACTGTACTTTTGACAATCCTGAAGGCCCAGGGTGGAAAGTGGCATAGTTTCATGCTCATGAACCCAATGTTTTGACCCCAGTTTGTTCACTTAATCCCACTCGTGTTTCCCCTTCCTTAGATTTAACACTGTTAGTCTATTGATCACTCTTCTAGGATACAGAAGATGAGGACTGGGTTGCTGAAATAAAGTCACAGTTTGAGGAAGTTGAAATGCTTGATCTCGTAGTTGACTAGTCCAGCAATGACCAACCTCATGGCATTAGTATCCAATCTACATGTACATCATTTAACACTCATGGATTCTTGTTCATGTCACATGCATTCCTTTTTTTCCCTTGATTTTGAAGTACACTGTATCCTACATGCATGGACTACTTTGAAAACTGTGCAGAGTTTGTTTTGTTTTGTTTTTTGTTTACTGCTACACAACAAAAAATGACAACGTGTTCATTTTATATCTATTTATTAATGAGTTGTAACTATTTGTCAGGTGTGCTTTTATCAATAAAAATCAGCCTCTCCCAGTTTAGTAGATATCAATAAGTTATATGTAATATTAATATAAAATCATATTTTATATTTAACTACAGTCAGGTATATGTTGACTGTAGACTGAGACAGATGCCTCTCAGCTACCTCTTAAGCTAGCTACCTGTGGATGCCTTGAGTAGCTTATATTTTTATAAGCTTGTATTTTCATGCCCTTCATTTTCTCTCATATCCCATTTAAAATGCTGTTGCTACCTTTTATCTACTGGTGTTAAAATAAGGCATTTTTAAAGATTGAAACAGGAGTAGCAATTTCCAGAGTCCTTACTCTTAATTCTGCAGAACTGGAGATGGTTATTATCAAGGTCAGTTTATGAAAAATTGAAATCATTCAAAGCAACATTGATTTTTACAGTAGTGGGCTTCACCAGGATATAGCAATGAAAATTCTATAGTCTCAATAGCTATGGCTTGTGACATGTATCAATTATTATATGAAAGCAAGTTGAATTACAGTTCTTCACCAAGCTCTTATTTTAGGGTATTGTTTGTAAAACTTCATAGAAGGAAAAATAAAAATAATAAAGTATTAATTCAGTTATTTACTGTAGTTGTTTATCAGCCCAACCCCCAGCCCGGAGGACCAGGGGATCACTCTTCCTATGGTTTCTACCCTTTGACCTGTTCGGCATGGGTAACCCTACCAGTAGTACTAGATTCCAGCTGACAGCTCCAGGGGTCACCGAGACACAAACCATGCCACAACGGGGTGGACTCCCATATAAAAACAGCGGGGTTGCTCGTCGTACCCTTAAGGGGTTAATGCGGTTTTGGTACCTCTTAGGGTGTCCAGCCTCAAACGGTCCTCATCGGAAGCTTTTGCGGTACTTTTTAGGGTATTGAGCCAAAAAAATATTAAATAATGGTATATAATATGTGTTGTGTTTGAATAAAATTATTGGTACCGTTTGGGGGGTGAAAAAAATATCAAGCCACACCCACAAAACAGGATCTTGGTGCCTCTTAGGGGTTCCTAATTTCCGACAAGCAACCCCATCCCTTTTTATATGGGATTCCCACCCCCACCCCCTTATCCCCAGAGTGGTGAGCCCTTAGGACCAATGGATTGCGCCAAAAAAAAAAGTAACTTTGTTCATTGTAACTTGTATTTCACTCGTGGTTGTAGCTTATTGTGAACGTCAAAAAGCTATGAACACTTTAATTTGATTTTAACATGTCGGTTACATGTGGCCACCAATACATTGCGAGATAAAATCGCAGTTTACAAGATCAAATGCTCCGACTGCCAGGCTTCCTACATTGGTGAGACTGGCAGAAACCTTAACACGAGACTGACTGAACACAAACGAGCCACG